AACAGCGTTAAAAGCAAACAACTCAGGATTCATCAATTTGAAGAAATTGATGTTAATTGAACATTAAAACAACAGACACTATTTATATTATTCAGAGGATTAAACATTTTACAATGATTTTACATATAAATATAGTAGGTATACAATACATGTTAAAAAGGATCTTAAGCAAATATGAAAAAATATAACAAACAAACTTGCCTATTCTAATATATTCATAATCAAGTATATTTTTAGAAGAATGAAGAACCTTGTTTACCAACATTAATAATTAAATAAAAGGATGTGAATAAAAATTATGAAGACGTAGTAAAGGAATATGAAACTTTTATCAGAAATTTTTCCTAAATGCTATTTATTCTTAGCAGGAATCTAGTGCCGTTATTTTAACGTTCTACTTCTTCTATTAGATTTGGTTTTCAATTTGTTAGTATGTTTCCTGTTTGAAGAATATTTATATTCCTGTTGACACTTTAAACGTCTATATAAAGAATTTATAGTTCTACTCCATTAAAAATTCAAATTCCCCGAATACAATTAAATAAATTTGCCTTAAAGTAATTTAGTAATCTTTAGTTTTAACAAGATGGTCTACTTTGCATTTGATTTTGTGTAATGGTGCTTAGTTTACTTAGTTAATATTCAAAATGGCCGATAAATGTTTCAGTTTTAAGCCGGGACGGAACCTTAATTTGATTAATATTTAAATTAGTTGGTATTACTATAAATTATATTTTATTGATTATAGAGTAATAGTAAAAGATAATGTACCAGAATAATTCGTATTTCGATAGAGAATTTTTGCCTGATTAAAAATCATTGAAACGCTCTTGTAAAAGTGCTTTACTACCTAAAAATTTTAAAAAATCGTAACTCCAAAATTACAGTAGATAGCGAAACGCGGTTTTCAATTTAAGATTAGGAATAATATTTGCAACAAAATTTGTAATAACATCAAAATCAGTCAAAGTCGCAGTTTTCGAGATATTAACATATGTTAGTATGGGCGGCTATACGTGCCTCCCGGCGCCAATTTTTTTGTACATTTTCCGCCTAGTGAGCTTTTTTTTCAAGTGATAGAAATATTAAGTCTACTTGTTTAGTTTTAATAAGATATATTTCATGATCGCGGTATATTTTTAAAAAGATTCTACAAAACAAACTGTTTGTATGTATGTATACAGCGCAAAATGTAGACATTTTTATATCGTCCATCTTTATCCCAGTATCGACGAAAAAAATCTAAAGCACGTTGAATTCGTCGGGTCAGTGTAACTGCACTCGAACGATAAAGCTTGATGCATTTTGGTCATTCTCTTTTTTTCTTCCATTTTCTTGGCGAAATATTTGCGCAATTCCCAGTATTCCGTTTCGAGCTTTGCCATAAAATGTAATCTTTTGTGCGAACCCCATTTCTTAACGTTAAATATTACCCCGTTGTTAAAAATAATTTATTTTTTAAATCTGGCATTTTCGCAATGTTTTTTAACTGTTCTAAGATCGAGTTAACTGATTGGGGACATATTTTTTATACTGTATGTTCTACATAGCTACGTCATAATTTTATTTCATTAATATCAAATTGTAGCTATAATAGCCCTTCACCGAACCTAAAATTTACAATCTGTAAAAATCTAATCGTTTAGCTACAATATTCCGTGTCGTATGTGGTGAACGACCCTGTATATTATTATATTCTTCTACTATTTTTTTCCAATGTTGTCTTATTTAGTATTATGTATTTTTTCTCTACCAGTTTGTTTTGTATTACTCTCTCTAACTGCATCACCCTTTATAATGAACTGGAAGTAATTTTAATAATTAGTAGGGTAATTAATTTTACCTTTTACAAAGACCTAATTCTCTTAGAACTAAAACCTCATCTTGAACACTCATCCAATTAACCTACTTCTTCGCTCTGACCCTAAACTACCCTTCCAGGAGGGATCCACCCTCACTTCACCCTTATCTTAATTCGTCCAGTTGCCCAAGAACCACCAACTTTCTCCTCGACTTCCCGCCCTTCCAAATTTCTAAAATTCCATCGTTTTCTCCTTCCTCTATTTTTTGTTCTATTTTTTTCTACGCCCTTTTTGCTATGGCAGGCATTCGAATGAATAGAAAAAAGGTCTGTGTGGGACTGGTCAGACACCCAAGGCTAAATTTTTTGTAAGGATATATTATAATGATCTTGGTACAATGAGGGACTGAGTGAGCTTCTAGGAAATATCAAATATTAAAAGAGTCCTTTTTGTAAGATGGAGTTTTTTTTGTTAAAATTTGTAGAGAAAATGCTAGAGAATTTCAAGAAGTAGTTACTGTAATTATCAAGCATACTTCAAACAGTAGACATATACTATTAGAATATGTCATATCAATTATCGTCAAAAGAATATACTAAAACAAAATTATAACGAGAAAACTGTCCTGGACTGGGTCCTTTTGAACTTGATGGCCTTTGTCCATCAGCAATTTACCATTAGCAGAAGAAGTATGATTCTTGGATTGGAGGGTATAAATTCATTATTAAATAACATTATTATCATCAAAAGAATATACTAAAACCAAATTATAACGAGGAAACTGTCCTGGACTGGGTCGTTTTGAACTGGATGGCATTTGTCCATCAGCAGTTTACCATTAGCTGAAGAAGTATGATTCTTGGATTGTGTGGAGGGTATAAATTTATTATTAAATAACATTATTATCATCAAAAGAATATACTAAAACCAAATTATAACGAGAAAACTGTCCTGGACTGGGTCCTTTTGAACTGGATGGCATTTGTCCATCAGCAGTTTACCATTAGCTGAAGAAGTGTGATTTTTGGATTGGATGGTATAAATATAAATTCATAATTATTAAATAACATTATTATCATCAAAAGAATATACTAAAACAAAATTATAACGAGAAAAATGTCCTGGACTGGGTCCTTTTGAACTGGATGGCATTAATTATGGTATAAGTTTTTATAACGTTGAAAAAAAATATTAATAAATGTTTAAAAGAATCATAGGTTGGATTCCTTTTGAATTTTAATTTTTCAAATTTTATATTCTATTAAAAAAATATTTATTATAAATTATAATAATAGTAAACTTGAATAACTTATTCGTCTTTCACGATATTTTTTTCTGTTTTTTTTTCTTATACAGATAATTCTTCGCGACGTCTCTCCGCAAAGCATTCAACTGAATATTTATGAAGGAGAAGCTAGAAACGAGAGAATTTTATTAAAAAGACTGGAAATTTAGCCATTCCCATGCTCACTCGTGCTGTGTAGAACACCCGAAAGCTTAAAAGAGACATTGTATATCTTGGTTCCTTGCTGCTTCCCTCCTTTTCCAAGTTTTTCATAAAATTATTCAGTTTTTCCTCAACTTTGCATAATACAGAGAGACAAAACAAAAATAGTTAGTCTTTAGTCTATCTAATATTCTGAGATGTATTCTGACACATAAATACAAAAAATAATACGAACATTGTATTATATGATATTGAATATAGATGGAGAATATTTTGACATTGTCTTAATTATAGTCCAATAGCCCTGAAAAAATATAAGCACATATTCACGAACTAAATATAGCCACCAATAACGTAGGTCTTGAAATGAATTTAGCAGAAACTAAATTAATGTACAGTATACTAGACAGAAAAGACAGTCTAATAGGTAACAAAACATTGGAAAAGGTACAAGAATATAATTATTTGGGACAACTAATACACAGCTCAGGATCAGAGACAGAAGAATTACGTTAAATTGAATTACATTGTATTTGTACAAGGTACAAAACCTAAAACATTCATTAGTTGGTATTTTCAGTAATGCAAATATTATGAACGTGAATAACTATCTATAACTGAAACTGAAAAAATAAACATATCTACCTAATGACACTGTTCAAAGAATTTTCCAGCGTATGAATATAAATTTTCTACAATATTTTTCCCTGACTAACATCGGTAACACGAAAATGGGGTAAGATAAGACCAGACAAATGGCTGGAGTGGAAGGAAAACTATGCAGTTCCATGCAACCTCTATTGATTTTTTTTCATCTCGCTTTTTTTGTATTCTTTTCTTTCTATGATGATCTAATACTTCATCTTCAATTGTTGTTCTGTGACAGTTTTAGAAAGAAAAAATATTGATAATAAAATATATTAATATACAGGGTGTATAATATATTTCGTGGACTTTTTTCGTAAACTTGATACTGTATCTGTGTACCAATATCCTCTGGTTGTGTGCTAGGAAGAAAATGTTCATGCATATGTATTTTCATCGTTTGTAGCGTCTGAATAATGGTCTAGGTACAGCATCTAGCTCGTTTGCTAGCTCAGAATTAGAATTATGAGAGTTAAGCAACTCGCATTTTCATTGGAAGACATTGTCATATTTATTTCAAACCAATAATCAACGAGAATATTGATATAATTTAACAAAATTACTGTAAATCACTATAAATAATGAACAAAACATGTAAACGGACCACACGAATTGTTGGTTAGGTTCAAAATTTGTTCTCTCCTTAAATAATTTTTCAAAAATACGTAGTGTGTAGTTCTATGTCCACGGAATATTAGGACACCCTGTAGAAGATATTTATTTTTTCAAAACCTACAATATATTAAGCTTAAAGCAAATTAATAATTAAAGAAACTAAATGTTTACTATAACATATATTATGTAGCAATTTAATAATTTTGTTATTCAAAAAAGACTGAATTGAAAAATATATTTAAGATAAATTTTATGGTTCAAAAATATTATTATATTTTGCCACTATTGTTAGCGATAATAAAACCAAGTATGATTTGGTAAATTCCATAAAATTTTAATCAAAAAAACTGCGTCGTGTAGGTCAAACTGGTAAAAAGAAAAAATTAAACAATAAAATTGGATTTCCTTAATCAGGAGTGCCGATTTACTGTTTCATTTTAATATTTTTATCGAAAACACATACCTTATTACAATTTTATTTGTAGCTTGCTATTTTATTTGAGAGGTTGGCTAAACTGGTGAAAGTGTCGTTACAGATTTTTTCAAGGTAGGGAAGAATTTTATTTTGTAAATTTGTTGGATTATAATTAGTATACAGGGTGTTAATTAGAGAGGGTGATTGCTCATCAAAAAATATGAAAAAAAATAAGTTCCTATAATATGGCTCTGAAAATGCATACTTAATTTTAAAAATAGAGGATTTTGAAACTTCTAACAAAATCGTTAGTTTTTGTAATTATCTTAAATACCATTATTTTTTTTTGAATTAGTAGGTAGCACTGAACATCAATGTTGAAAAGTATAATTTTTATCATTTTTATAAGTTTTTTTAAAGAATTTTTTTTTCTCGACAACTCACTACATATTTCCAAAAAAAAAACAACCACAGTAAAGATGAAAGACACACTTTTATATGCCTGGCACTACCATTTTTCTTGGTGTCATGTCAAGGAGAGATGAAAAACTTTTTAATACGAATTTTTCTTCAGGGGCCTGTATAAATTTTAGTCAACAACTTCTCACACGTATAAACAAAAAACTTAGCACATAATTTAAGCCGAAAAAAGATCCCCTTCTGTAAACTACGCTCCGAAAATATCTTTAGGGAAATTCCACGCTCGAGAGCAAAGGAATTGGTGTGGCCCGTCGCCTCCACCAAAACTACAAAATCGAAATAATTTAATTTTTATTTTTCCTTTTTACACAACTACAGCTAAATAGTTGGTTTGAAAAATACTCTAATTACTTGTAATGATAAAATAAAATAAATTATTATACTATAACGTGCTGTATAATTTTTTTAAGTAATTTTGAGAATATGGTAATCATAACACCATTGAATTATAAACTTTAATCCTGAAAACTTTTGATAACTTTAATAAAAAAACAAATCTTAAGAAAAATAAACAAAGATATTTTGGTTTTGAACAATAATTTAAGTCTGTTTCAAAAGTTTGTGGGCAAGTTTTAGAAAAATATAACTCTACAAATATTTTTAATTATTTCAATAACATTTTGTATTTGTTAAACATTTTAATTTTCTTTTTTACTTATTTTTGATTATGGATGTCACCTATGTTTTAAGAGTTTTAGAAGAAATTTATAAAAAAATATATATCAACAAACAAAATTAAATAATTATTAATATTTTTTTCTATATCAGTGTTTGGGAAAAAAATTATGTTCTAGTTTATAGTCATTAAATATGATGATATTGATTGGTCTACGTTATATTAAAATCACTGTATACAAGGTGTTCCCTAGTGACATACTAATATTTAAGGGAGTAATTCTTGAACCTATTCTAAGAAAAAAAAAACGTTATTTAAATAAAAGTCTTAAACATCTTAATTTCTCAGATACAGGGTGGTAAAATTTTCTTCGAAAAAAAAAACGGCGTCAAAGACGGCTGGGGAATGACAATCCATGATAATTTTAGCCAGGTCAATTTAAAATAATATAAATTAAAAATTTCTTAAAGCCAGTTGGAAATAAGCGTTATTAAAAACTAAATAACAGTACGGGTCAAGCAAATAACGTGTAGGGCTTGACCTCGCTAAAATTATCATCGATTATCATTCCCAGCCGTTTCTGACGCCGTTTTTTTTCGATCGTACGGTTTATTTTAATCAATTTTCAACTCCTAACCTTGCCCTCTAGTGACCTATTTTTTTTTCACGTACGGTAGCCACCGAATACGAAAAAAAAACGATTCCTAGGTATCTAAGTGGAGTTCTAACCGAAATAAGCTCAAGCTTTTTGTGTTATCTAAGGTTACTTCATTTTTATCGGCTCTGTCTAATTATAGACTGATTTACGGTGTAGAGACACACCAGCTGACGTCACTTTAAGTGGTCTAAGGAGCGGGAACTGCCACAGATTCGTCTGAAGTGATATACAGGGTGATACAATATCGTATACAGGGTGGTCCGAACTGTATTCCGGAAACTTCGGCAGCATATTCTGCAGATAAAAATAAGTAAAAAAGTTCATATTAATGTATGTCCTAAATTACTTAGTTTAGGAGATACAGGGTGTAAAATTTTCATTTTTATTTCGATTTTTTTTAAATAATTTCTGAAGTAACATCAATATTTGGATGAAAATTGGTGTCTGGAATTTTTTTGACATGAGACATTTTATTTTGATGTCAATATGGTCTCCTACTTATAGAGGGCGCAACCTACATATTTTTTAACTAGTTTGAAGAGTAATAACTTTTCGTCCGTACCTGTATAAAACTACTGAGTAAAAAATATACATTTACGACGTTTTTTTACGTAAAAAAGTCTCTTTTACACCCTGTATTTCCGAAACTACGCATTTTAGGACATACATTTATACGAACTTTTTTACATTTTTTTATCTGCAGAATATGCTGCCGAAGTTTCCGGAATACAGTTCGGACGGATTTTTTTTATTATAGCGTAGGTATAAGAACTTTAACTCCAATTGTATTTTTTTTCTCTAAATGAGCAGCAAAATAATACACTAATTCTCCACAATACACCACAACACTTTTTCTTTTGTATTGGACGCGCCGCGCGTTTCGCTAACCATATTAGCATCATTAGCACTAACTAAAGTTTGAATTAGGTGGATTACTTTAATCTAATGAGGTATCCGTTGAGGAGACAGTGTCCTTCTAAAAACCGCGTGAAAATTCGAAGATTTACTTAAATCAATTAAATTCTTTTATTTTTCTCAGGATTCCAAAGACACCTAGCATTTCTATCTCCACGGAATAATAATAGGACACCCTGTATACAGTAAACGTACATATTTCGAATATTTTTGATTTGTTTTGGTTAGCGAAACGTCATAAATCTCGAGGTTAATTGGACGAAGGCCACTTAATAGATTCTGAGCTGAACGTTCTGGTATAAAAATAAAGGTCTTTGATCTTTCGGTCCTTATAAATAAACATCGATTGGCCGAATTTACATACGAGTGGTCCACTACCGAGCGATGTTGTTAAGTGATTTATATTTGACATTGTACCGTTCGGCTTTTAAATTGTGTTTGATTAAAAACGATGGATCCGTTGTTTAAATGATCCGAATTTTGTGTTGAACTGTTTATTTGGCCAGACACATTAAACATGTCGAAATTTACATTTAGTTTACTGTTGACATTAAACTTAATTAAATGTGGGGTACAAGTTACCATAAGCTATATCATCATCATTTTAAACTTATTCAACAACCATTTCCAATTATGTTGAGCAATGAAATCGCGAGTGAATTAATTTCGGGAGACGATAATGCAATTTTGTCGTCATGTATAAAACAATATTTTTTTCCATAACGAGTTGCGTTTTAAAAAATATTCAGAAATTATTATTTCAAGGATTTATTAGGAGTAGAAAAAATATTGTGCTGGGTTAGCGTGGGTTTCTATGTAATTTGACAAATAAATAAAGCTGTCTCTTTAGTTATCAGTTTGGTTTGGTTTGGCCATAGCTAGAAATGGATCAAAACGAAATAAGTAAATTACCAAGACATATTCAGGCTGAGGCGCAGGGGTGGATGGGGAAGTGGAAACCGGCCCGGGAAAAACAGACAACCGGCCCAAATCCTCGAAAACAAAATGACCATAACGAAGAAACATATTTTATTTATTAATACAAGATGTCCCAGAAATAAGTGCAAGTATTTTAACTGGTAGTATAGTTCAACCCCAGAAACACGCCTGTGAGGTTTTTTTTCGCAAAAAAAAATTTTGAAAATTCGGAATTTCCTGAAAAATGTTTTGGAAATTTTTTTAGTTTTTAGTTAAAAAAACATAATTTCTTGATAATATGGCAACATCGGTAGTACCTACATTAAATTTACAAGAAAGAAAATCCAGAAAAGGTCCAGTGGTCCTCAAAATCTCAGCAAAAAATTATTTTTTTGGAAAATTTCAAAGTAAAATAATTGCGTTATTTTGGACTTATTTGAAAAACGACGAAGAGAAAATATGTTTCATTTATCGAGATCTACCACCCTTTAAAATACTTGCACTTATTTCTGAGACAACCTGTATATAAGTAAGGGTGTTTTTCGCTCGTGCGAAAAAGCTCTTTTGCATCCGGTTTAAGAAAAAAATAAATGGTCTTGATCAAAATTTTCGTAAAGACTTTTGGGTCGGACATCTGAATTTTTACTACAAAATGGCTCAGTTTTACAGGGTTCTACTGCTTAATTTCCATTATCGATAACGGTAATTTGATCTTGAATAGGCTACGATTCTGACACATACTTTCTTACACATTGTAGAAAGAAATTCTCTCTTTTCTGCTACAGTAGCAGCCTCCTCGTATATACGTGTTTTTAACTGAATGAACCGCGGTCGTCATTAAAACTGCAGCATTTTTTAGGTTATTATATAGTTCTTATCACGAAACTTTTCCTCTATACTTTTGCACATCTGGCATCTTGTATAATAATGCCATGACTCAAACGAAAAGAACCTAGGCAATACCTAGGCAGTGGATATATATGTGTTCTGATGTAATGTTATATATTACAGTCCATAATAAGAATATTTGGATTTTCGAGACATATTAATATGTTATTATCTAATCTAGTTTACACCTTATTTAACTCTTCTCTGCTGTCTCAGTAATGTTAAGCAAATTCATTTTAGAAACATTTTAAACAACAATTTAGACTTGGCTTTTAATTCTCAGACTTGGCTTTTAGTCCGTCCCCAATTCAAGCCAAGCATAGATACGTTTTCTCCGTCAACCGCAGAGTTTGCCTCTAATTCTTTTCCTTCTTACAAAGGGGAGCTCGAAAAATATTGCACCGAGGCCCCCAGTTGTCAATCTACGCTACCGTATTCTTAGTATACATTTAGATCGAGACTATTTAACTTTTCCTAATGCTATTCATTCTTTTTTTCTTGCTGCCAGTCAGTCATATTTATTAGTTATCAATAAAAGAATATTGGGCAAAACTATACAGGGTGAGTGTTAAATAATTATACGGCACTAAAAGAGATGCAAATACCGAAAAATTGAGGTGGCTCAAATTTAAAAAAAAATCTATTTTTTTTTAAATT